CCCCCCCGCCCCCGCGCCAGTCACCCTGAACATCAGCAACATCACCCCCCTGCCGGTCAACGTGTCGCTCAACGACAAGCCGCTGCCGGCCAACCTGTTCCGCCCCCTCATCAAGATGTGGGGCGGCAAGGTGTCTGAGCTGGACGGCAGCCCCAGCGGCAACGCATACGACGAGCTCTCCAGCCGCAGCGAGGCCAACTACATCGCCAAGTTCTTCCCCATCGCCAGCTCCTACGCGGGCGAGAAGCTCAGCTTCCCGCTGAGCGAGAAGCTGCAGGAGGGGTACTACGAGGTGTCCGCCGTAATCTCCATCGTCACCCAGTGAGTCACGGCACCGGCGCGGATCGTTTGAAGGCGCGGTGATCTGATTATGGCGGGGCGGCCTGATTACGACAGCGCCCAGGTCAGTCTGGATCCACCAGCAGGGGTATCCCTATACCGCCATACGCGTGCTCTGGTTGGTGTACAAGTTGGTCCCTAGCCCCGAGTCTCCGGCCGCTGGCCCTTGTCACCGACCTCACCCCTCCATTCTGGTCAACCCCTCCATCCTCTCCCCCCCCCCCCCAGGTACCCGGCCCTGACCAACCTGACGGGCCTCAACCAGATCACGCAGGACGACGAGTCCGGCACCAGCTCCAAGGTCACGGGGCTCTTCGAGGCGGCGTCCCGCATGATCCACAACGCCACCCTGGTGGGCGTGCAGAAGAACAGCACCCTCACCACGCTCAGCGCCATCAGCAGCGCCAGCCACTCCGCGGGCGAGGCCGTGCAGGCGGGCGACAAGATCGTGCTCAACTGGAAGTTCCGCGGCATCGGCTCCGCGACCTGCACGCACGACGGCCAGCCCGCGAGCAACGCGGCCAACGGCAAGTGCGTGAGCCCGCTCACCATCACGGCCAAGGACTTCGGGTCGGCCAAGACGCGGCACAAGGTGGAGGTGACGTTCACGGACGTGTGCGGGCGCGTGAAGAACGCGGGCTTTGAGTACAACCAGGAGGGCGTCAAGACGCTCAGCGCCACGGAGGCCCTCAACGACGACGGCACCATCCGCATCGTCGGCGGCGGCAACATCGGCGGCGGCGCGTACAACGCCGCGGGCGGGTTGCGCGCGGCGGGCAGCCTGGTGCTGGGCGTGCTGGGCGCGCTGGTGCTGCTCCTGCTGTGAGCGCGCGGGCTGGCTCGCACGCGCGACGCCGTTTCCAGTGTGGTGTCGTGGGTTTCGATTCCTTTTTATTGGAAAGCAAACGGGCTGGGGCAAAAAATCAGCGAATTAGTCTACAAAGTGATGAATGCAGCTCACGCATGTCGGGAACGGGGGTCCTCGTGACACGCGCCCCGCCCGAGGGTCGCCCCGCCGCCCGCGCTTGTGGGCGGGCCCCAGCGGCGCGTGCGCGCCAAATGCGCCGAGCGCTCCATAATGCCTGTGTGCGTGTGCAAAGGAACAGACGGCGCTGAGTTCGCCTGTACTTCAACATAGAAGCAGATCTATTTATTGTTCAGGAGGCAATACTGTTTTCCTGGGGATGAGTAATAACGAGTCCCGTCTCATCTTGAATTGCAACCGTTTCTCGTGGGGGCAGCAGGTATGACAAGGCCTCCGACCCCAAAGTGTGCCCCGCCTGGACCTTGCTTGGTGTCATAGAGCGGCCAAATCGCCATTCTCCCAGTGACACCCTGCTTGGATTGCGGGGTGCCGCCAGGCAGCCTGGGTGGTCACTTTGTTGGTCAACAGCATTGTCCCAAGCATACATACCGCCGTCAGCAGCAGGTGCGCGGCATTTCGGATACCTCTCTGACACCCGAACTTACTGTTTCCTGCAGTTAGTGCTATGTACTTGCGGACCCTTGTCGAGAACCATCTCGCGTCCTGCTGAAATCGATCTGCAGCTGGAAAGGGGCGCAAATAGTGAGAAAAGAAGTCAGGAATCAATCGACACTCTGCAGCTTCCGCGGGATGGCGAACGAGGACCCCCAGATTGACAAGGAGGGCGAGCGGCCGCCCAAGCACAAAGGAAAGGTGCGCGTATATGTACTTGTAACTAACATCACGCGCAGCAATAGTGCTGCAGCGTGTCTCCTCGAAAGCGTCGCCGGCACTGCCGCAGCGGGGCCGCCGCACCGTGCTGCTGCTGTGATGCTGTGCAGCAGCACGAGCAGGCAGGTGCCGCCGCTTCGGCAGTCAAACGGCAGCTTACACACATGGCGTCTCAGGCCCGTCTCCGCCCCGCAGCATGGCTGTTTGCCCTGCGGCCTGTGCCCATGTGCTGCTCAAGGCCAATTGCCACCAAGCACAGCCGCACTCTCCTGGCAGCCCCTGCCCCTTTCCGTTGTGTGAGCCAAACCAACCCCCTCTCAATCGCCCTCACCACCCCCACACCCGCGCCACCCACCCGCAGCACAAGAAGGACAAGCCCTGGGACCACGAGGGCATAGACCACTGGGCGGTGCAGCCCTTCAGCAAGGAGGACAACCCTGGGGGCCTGCTGGAGGAGAGCTCCTTCGCAACGCTCTTCCCCAAGTACAGGGGTGAGGCGCCCCCCGCGGTCTGGGGGGCGAGGAGGGAGGGAGCGGCAGGGGCCGGGCGCTGGCCTGCCGGTGGCTGTGCAGCAGGAGGGAGGGAAGGGGGGGGGCCCTCAGCTGGCGCGGCTGCGTGTGAGCCGGGGCCGCGGCAGGGTGGTGGATTGGGTGGGGCGAGGCGGCGGGGGCAGCCGCGGCGGCGCGGGGCTGCCTGATGGCTCTCTTGGCGCAGCGCGGTGGGCTGGCGGCCTGATCGCGGGCGGCAGACGGCGGCGGGCACCCTGAGACGGACAGCCGCCTGGGTTGCCGGGCAACAGCGACGCCTGCTGATGCCGTTGCGGGCGCCGCGCAGGCGGTTAAACAGTTTGCAGCCGCTGGTGTGGTCGCGGCGGTACCAACTGAGCAGCGGCCGGGCCCCGACAGCCAGCCTTTGCCTTCTCCCAGCACCTCCCCACCAATCTCAGCTGCAACACCAACATACAAGGTGGCTCACACACGTCCCCATTGTCAAATCCCCCCCCCCTCAAAATCAGAGAAGTACCTGCGGGAGGTGTGGCCGGCGGTGACGCGCGCGCTGAAGGAAGTGAGTCAGCCAGGCGCCTGCAAGGGGTGACCACAGCAATGGGGGGGGTGGCTGCCACCGGTCGCGTGCTTCCAGCCAGCCCGCCGCGGCCTGGCCTGTCCCACCGCGCAGCCGAACTCTCCTGCCCCCCCAGGTTTCCAGCAGCCCCCGTCCCCAGCCCCTCTCTCACGCCC